AAAAAAAAAAAAAATCTGATAAATAAATAAAACAGTTATTCTTTCTATTACCTTTAAATATTTTATACAATACTGGTAAGTGTTAAAGTATTCATAAGTTCATTTTTTGATTTTCGCAAAGAACGATGACATTGTATACAACAACGAGCTATAAAATTCATATTTTATTTTCTCATGAGTACAATGCAGTTGACTTAAAATCGTCTAGCTTGAATAATTATTTTATATAAATTCAAATTAGAGTTTTTATGGTCTTGTACAAAAGAAAAAATGATTTTTTTTAGCTTCGATACGATACTGAGAAGGTATTAATTTTACTATGATGTGTTATTTTTTTTTTTTATGTATGTTACTATTTTTTCTCAGCTCTCATCGAACCGATTTCTTTCAGCGATACGTCAAAAGATCACAAATCGTATTTAATTGAAGAAATTTCTATTAACAATTAAATAAATTTCCCTTGTTCCCTATAAATGGAGGAAATCCTCAAAAAAATTACAATTTTTAAAATCGATAAATTCTGAAATTTTTTTAAAACTGCCATTACTTTTTGAAAAATGAACAAATCAAATTAATTTTTTTTATATTGAAACCTTAGATATATCCCTTTCATTTGGTATAATTTTTTTAAAAATCTGACTCTTTACCTAGCGACAGGGAAAATTGAAACTTCTGCACAAAAATTTAACTTCTGAAGATGTTCCGGAAATATTGACGCTTTTATATATAACTTAAATTAGAGCTTATAAAATATACTTTACTATAAATAAAAAAAAAATTCGAACTATAGATTGTCTTCATGGTAAAAATGGTGACCGTATTCCAAAATATGCTATTTTTGTGTTAAATTCTCGGTTTTGTAGTTTATTTTAAAGTACCTTACAAGGGGAGTACATAGATTTTCATGAATATCATATAAATCTATTTGACATAACATATAAAATAAAGCTTATTTAATTATTTTTACATCTTTTAAATCGAGAAAAATAACTTTGAAATTTTGAACTAGCTTATATTTCCTTTAGCTTCCGACTAATGCGACGTACGATTCAATAACTTCAATGAATATCAAGAACCCCATCACTGTAGCAATATAACATTAATAATACAATAATACACATCTCAAACCGATCAAAATATCAGCATTTAATAACCGCAAATTATTAACTTAGATAACAATTTTATTGAAATATTTTTAAAACTAAAATCTCTGAGGATTATCTAAAGCCAACAAATTATTGCACAGAAATTGATTTTATTGAGTACAATTAAATTTTAACAAATTTTACAATTTAAATTTTTAAAAATGAAACAACAACTAAATGTAATTGCAATTTAACTTTAATAAACATTTTAATATCTAATGTTATATTATAATAAATTTCTGTGCTTCGTTTATTACTACCGCAAATAGTCCTGAAAGCTCATTTATTTTTTATGATATTATAACCTGTAAAAAAAAATAAACAAAACAATAATTTACAATATTTACACATTACTAATATATCATTTCAGCCAAATTGTATACAGTAAAATATATTTTTTTCAGCTAGAAGATCATTTCATTAGTAATTATAAAAATAAATTTTATTAGGTACTTATATACTGTCTAAATGCAAATGAAAAATCAAAAATTGAAAACGACTTATTTTCAAATATATCAGAATGTTAAAAAGTTAAAATTCTATTTACAATATTTCTTCGATAATGGTTTTGGATTTTTATTATAGAAACGATCCAATTGAAGAAAATAAATAAATTTCATATTTTTTGTTGTATTTAAACCCTTATTTGATAAATAAGGTTTTCATCCAAAATCAATAGAAAAGTTAGTTTTTAAAACCCCATAGACCAAAAAACATTTTTAATATCATTTCCTACTTAAACAGATCTCACTATAAGTTTAGTATACTTAATTACTTAAGTACATTAATTATAAAAACTAACAATTAATTTTTTTAAAAAATCACTTGATTTACAAGTGCTAATTAAACTACATTTTTAAACATCTATTAATATCAATATTATTAGGGATCAACTAGTAGGAAACAAAAAAGTATATATTATAAAAAATTATTGTTAGAGCATACCTTTTTTATTCCTTTGGACAATGTTACATTTTAATTCCCCTGAAAATATGTAGTCAAAAGAAAATACTTGTAATCTTGTACTAAAATAATAGTATGTGTAAAATTCGTCTTCTATACATGGTAAAAGAGATTTAACATCATAAATTTTATCTTTTAACTGAGAAAAATATTTATTACAATCTTTTTTCTTGTACATATTAGGGTTGGACACTCCAGTGTCAAAGTGAATTAAATTAAATTCCATAGGGCGAGCACATCTCCAATAAAGTGAATCTAAAGTGTCCAATCTCAAGTCGGAGAATTTTTTTGAATTTGCTAATTCT